GCTAGCCAATTGGTTGATATTAATCTACGTCAACGTCTAGGACACCAATATGGGCCGTGAGAAAATATGAACAAGGCTGTTTCAACAACCAATCACAGCAAACTTAAACGTGGGCAAATATGATTCGCAGATAGATGGCTCCACTTTCCGAGGAACTCGAAAACAGCCAAACAGAAGACTGCGTTTGTCTGCTTGACTAGGCTACAATAATGCATGTGAAATTTACATAAATATTTTTTTTTTCATGTTTGAACTTTCGACTGATGAACGCCGGCAATTCGAGGATTACGTTTCTTGTGTCATTGAAAAACAGTCCCAGTCTGCTAACCTCAAGCATCTTGACAGTCTCAAGCAGGTATTGGCAGAAAAGCGATTCCCGACTGACCCCAATAAATATGTATTTAATTATTCCTCCGTCACTCTTTCTGAAATTCAACTACAAGCCCTATCACTGGGCCCCAAATTCTGCAACAGTTCATCCAAAGTCAACAGACTGCATACTCAAGTGCAATTCGAAAATATGCTACGTATACCTAGGCATTGCCTTTCTCGACAACAGGCCTTGTTAGCTGACATTACTGACGGATCAGTCTGGAAAAGATCCAGTGATGGTCATACAAAACATGACCTCATCAGTCAATGAAATCCTTAACAGTCACTCTAAGTCAATCACGTAGGGAGGAGTAGACTTCTTGGTTGAGGTCCTCAGGATGGTAAAAACCAATCAAGGCCGGAGACAATTGTTGTTATGACTCAGAGATTACTTCACTCTTAGTGATTTATAATATCCAATAAAACTCTATTGTTCTTCCATATGACTATTTGTTTTGCCTCATATCTCTCTCCTCTGGCTTTGTGCGTTACGTGGAGTGTGGTTGTAACAACAGAAGACAAGGGCCAGGCAACAGATCGTTTTATTACGAAAGTCAACACGTATTTATATAAATTTCACATACATTATTATAGCTTAGTCAAGTAGACAAACACAGTCTTCTGACTGGTTGTTTCGGGTTTCATCGGAAAGTGGAGCCATCTATCTGCGAATCATATTTGCCCATGTTAAGTCTGCTGTGATTGGTTGTTGAAACAGCTTTGTTCATATTTTCTCACGGCCCATATTAGTGTCCTAGACATTGACGTAGATTAATGTCAACCAATTGGCTAGCAGGTTGCTCTCACCACATGGTCACCTGGACCGCTATACATCCGTGCGAAGTCTTACGTTGAAACCAGTCATTAAAGTATTTTCAAGTGCTGACTACTGATCAACGTGGGTCTAAACAACATTAGCAATACCTGACAGTAAAAGTAACCGAAAGCTTTATGCTGGGAGGAAGTCAACTTGTTTACGTAAAGTACGACGACTGGATTACAGAATGCAGCTTAACAGGGAAATATCGCGATTTAACAAGCTTGAAGAGAACTAAGTGGTCAGATACTACGACTGGTATAAAAAATAGTCGTTTACGTGTTTACAATTTAACTGCAACTAATGTCATTTCTCAAACCTTTTTTTAAACAACAGTATAACCAAGTCATATTAGTATTACGAACGCCAAGCTCACAGAAAAAGCTAATCCCTACTCACAATTTTGATATCACCTCATCGTTACATTAAAGCAACCAAAATAGTTGACAATTGCATTTGCATTTCACAGAAAACCGAAGTAATTCAATACGATAAATACTAATCCTAGTAGATCAGAAGCACCCAAGATACCGCGTGGTTGCAGTGTCACCTATTCGAGTGCACAATTTACTAACAGAGAGAGAGAGAGAGGATGTCATTAACCACAGCTGACAAAGCTATCCCAGAAGTTTGCCTGTTTTCGAAATACTCCGCGCCAACCATCTGTCCTTCGAGCACAGATATTAAACTTATGCATCTTACATTTTACTCAGTATACGGATACCTGCCAATATATTCTGCACAGAGCCGCAACCAATGTAGTATTCATATCAATATGACGTCACGGTAAGCGTCTCGTGAAATCACACAGATACATAACATTAGCAAATTAGCAGTTTCGATAATACTATAGTACTGCTACTGTGGTGGGAGGAGGCTAGTAGTCAATTTTTTTTCCTTCACATTCCCAATGGAACATAGGGCCTCAAGCTAGTGGCTTGAAGTTTCTCTAGCAGTGTTTATTTTTACAGAATGGGGTTGCTAGCCTCAACCTTTCCTCTTTACCAGCATTATTTCTGGCTTAGCGAGGTAAAGGAGTGCGTCGGCGGGGATCGAACCCCAGACCGTGTACATGGTCGGCGAGCGTCCTAACCGCAGTGCCACCGACACTAGCCAATTGGTAGACATTAATCTACGTCGATGTCTAGGACACTAATATGGGCCGTGAGAAAATATGAGCAAGACTGTTTCAACAACCAATCACAGCAAACTTAAACGTGGGCAAATATGATTCGCAGATAGATGGCTCCACTTTCCTAGGAACTCGAAAACAGCCAAACAAAAGACTGCGTTTGTCTACTTGACTAGGCTACAATGTATTTGAAATTTACATAAATACGTGTTGAGTTCCGTAATAAAACGATCTGTTGCCTGGCCCTTGTCTTCTGTTGCTACACTATGAAGACTTCGTCAACTGCTTGATGTTTCGAAGAACCAATTATTCAAACATGGCCACCAAATTTAGCATTAACTCTGACGAATGGTTTATGACGCATCGACAATTCGTAGATGTTCGAGATCATAAAAGCTGCTTTACTAAAACTAGAAGTGGGTGGGGACAATCAAACCGCTCTGGTTTGCAGTCCAAAATGTAATTCTCCTGTGGAACACTTCCCATAGCCTAGTCAATTTTCTATCCAATAGTGCAACTGCATAATGAAGACATTGTATTATGTAGATATCACTCCCTCAAACATTGGCGTTCAAAGTTACAATGATGTATGTATAATAAACTGTTATACACAACCATACGTGCCGCAAAACTGCACGGACAGCTAACGCATTTAACTTTATACCTCTTTATGACCGAAATACCAAAAAAACTACTTATAAATTAATGCATACTGTTGAATATACTTCAGATTTTCACAATCACCAGTCTTTCTTTAGAAATAATACTGAAACTATGTGCACTAGTTACGTCTATTTGAATATAAATAGTCATAGTAACAGTTCTCTACAGTGTCATTTCAGATGACGATTTCTAATCAGACTTTGTAGAACAAGTAAGCTATTTTATTAAAGCGATCGATTTCTGGATAATTGATTTTCACGATCAAGCATTGCAAAACCGAAAGTCATAAAACGGTATTATATACAGAGTAGGGCATATAACATTATGCACCGGTATCACTAATTCAGTAAACATTCGTAAAGCGTCTACCGGAAAGAAGTTAGAGAATTCCCCAGTACAACTACAGTAAATGATGACTATGCACCCACTAAGAGCATGTTTCTATCGCTTGACCAACATATGAGCCTTGGACAACTTCTAAAATAACCTCTTTATTTCTGAGGCCTAACTTCTGAAATAATGACAAATCACAGAGTTCAATGCAACAGGTGAGACAGATGATATGGGGTTTACATTCCAGACTAGGTGCTGCGGTATACTAATATATTTGCTGAAATAGGCACATATAGGTACAATTCAAAGATGACCCAGCTTTTTAGAACTGTGAGTGAAATTAGAAACTTATTTCGGGAGGCCTGATATCATGTCCAGTTCATTATAACAGCCACACGGCAGACCTGTGAATTTTTTAACTTCTGCTTACATTATTCATCAAACTCAAGTACATTTCAACAGTTTAAAAGTCTAAAGATGACTCTTATGGAGACTGAAAAGGTCTAAGCCTTTACGGTGAGTGGCACGTATCAATAAGTAGTTAAAGAAAGTTATTTCTACTTTAGATGACCACCACCCAGTTATAGCCTGATCACAACACTATTCACGGGGTATGTGATGGGTAACTTAGAAAATCATTAACCGCCATGTTTAGTAAGGCTTGGGTATCAGTCTTCTGGAACCTAGTTGCCCTGAAAGAATCCTTCGTGTACCAGGCTATGAACCACATGTATTGTGCGATTTGATACTATCCAACTACCTAGACACATGTAAGTCAAGCCTGATTCGAAACAAGTGCCTATCGGCTCAAAGTGGAGTGCTTAAGCCGTAATACTGTCTCCACGTTGTCAAACTTGGTAATAAAGGAACTGATCGATATTTTAACAAATCCGGTTTTCAAGGAAGCCGCTTCTTCTCCAAATAATACGCAGACATCAGCCTGATTATATTTGATGTTTGGAGAAGCTTTGAGAGCAACATACTCTAGGAGAGAAAATTCATGTAAAACCTCACTCGAGGAGTACAGGTGTGATAACTACATCCCGTTAACCTTAAATTCAAACACATCCATGACACATAACATAGTTATGCTTCTGACCACAATTGCTAAACACCAACACGTGCCTGTTGACACACTTACCAATGGTTCACAGTAATTATGAAGGATGACGACTACTTGGTCACCTAAATCTCAGTACGTGGAATAATGCTCGAAAGTGGCTAACGAATTTATGATTTTACTGAACCACCTCAACGTGCATACTCACTGCCAAACCAGTTTATACTAAATTGCCAGCAGAGATACTTGTTGCAAGAATGCACTCACTTGTGACTTTTCGGGTGTAAACTGCACAGTATGTTGACATCTTCACTTATACTGCAGACTGCTTGAGCTTTTAAAACAACTGAAGCATTAATGTGAATATAAGTCTCGACTAGTTCCAGGCAACTTAGACTTAATGCACACGACTGAGTCACGTGAATATTTTCGAAGTTAACGAGTGGCTTTGCAGTTCTAATATCCTTGAACTGAATCTTAAAAACATTCACGCCTCCTGCTAGAGTAACCTAACTGAAACTGATCGAATTTACCCACTAAGAAATCTCTTACAGAAATACTTCTTAACTTGGAAACTATGGAAAACCCACCACTTTCCGGAGAGTGAAAACAGGCGCCAGGTTGTAATCTATTACAACTAGGTAAGACTTAAGTGTGGACATCTAAGAGCAGAGAAACAATTATCATTTTCATAGGATCAATCTTGATGGCATATAATAAATCAGAACAAAAAGACGTTTCACTATCACTCGAAAAATACGTGCAAAATTTCAGCTTATATCATCAAGTAAATGATAACATATCTCAATAAATGGGCGACTATTTACAAAAACGATTGGAAGTCACGAAGACTTTAAAATTACCTAATGACTACAGAATGCATACAAAATGGAAAAATCAAAAGTATGCACAGCGTAAAAGTAAAAGCGTAAAAATGCCTAGCCAACCATAAGTCCAATACCGAAAGAGTATTTGGCTTTTACTTGATTACCCATTGCACACAAAGTTAGTGTGAAAGGAAATGGTGTTAATTTCTTCTCTAAAGAAGAAGCTACATTCCAGTTAGAGTCCATCTGAGCTTTGAAAGTGACATTTGCTTTGGGGATATCATATTTGTAACCTAGAGTTGTAGTGTTCGACTGTTGTGGATAACTGGATTCGAATTCTGCTGCCAACTGAAGACTATCGTTTACTTGAACATGAAAACTGCTGTGAAGTGAATTTTGCCAAGGTCGGATAGTCGCTGCAGCTTGCCAGTAAGAAGAAGTGTATTTCGCCCCAAAACTCCAAACACCATCCTGTCCTGTGGGTAACTGAGAAGAACATTGGTAGAAGAATGCACTTCCAAGTGCTAATCGTTTTGTTATCTGGCGCATTACATCAATAGCAGCCATGCCCTGGCCCCGAATGATATCAGGATTAATAACTGTTAAAGATGCTTGAAGTTTAGGTTTACGATATTCAATACAACCCTGCTGACCTCCAAAACGATGACGCTGAAGTTGGGCGATGTAACGTACATAAACAGACGGAAACATCCTGTGGATTATCTGGGCTTGCATATTTCCATTAGGCTGAAGTTCACTCATTAATACCGGGTACATTTCAGTATCAGAAACTTTGTTATGTCCAACATATGTAACACCAAAGCGGTAGCCCGCTTGGTCATCGGAATTTAGAGATAGGGAATGGTTAACTTGGAAGTTAGGAGATAATCCCTTGTTAACAGACAGTCTGGCACCATCAAATGGCACAGGGAAGATATCGTGGGCTTTATTATGAATATTCTCAACAGTTCCAGGACCTTCATTTGATACCGTGTCTTGGGATTTTGATGCTTCGGGGTCAACAAACGCATCGCCCTTAGAAGTGGCAGCATGTACTACATTGCCCATAATCCTAAATAGAACAAGACAGCACAATGAAAGTGATGCACAACTAGTATTGCATAGAAAAAGGGTGAGAATAATCAACAGTCAGAAAAAAATAAGCATCAGCACGCTTACGTCTGGTATAGCCCGCGACGAAAAGTAGGTATTTAAACACGTGCCTAAAATAGAAATGACTATCCAATGCATGATGACTCTAGAGAATATGTGTCAGTTTTATTTCTCACAGTAATAAATAAATCGCTTGAATGTGAAACGCTATAGCTGGACATGAATATGAGAATAGGTACTTCAAACGGAGAATGGCATTCATACGTTTTGAAGTAACTTCTGCTTCTGTTGTATAAATTGCATCGGAAGCTCTCTGGTTCACTTTAACTGGTTTAATTAGTTGAAGCATTGTTTCTCCGCACTTTGTGACTTTTGCGTGATTTTTATATGTGTTTAGGTATATATATATATATGTATATATATTTGTCTATGTGATTTAAACGACTTATACCGACATGCGTCTCAGTATTAGCTGTGGACGACCGGACTGCCACTTTCTGATGGATGATGGGATGCAGTGTTATAACTGCAACCTATGGTTTCATAAACTTTGCACTGGGTTATCATCGTCCGCCTATAGATGCAGCAAGCCATCGTCTCCATGGGTGTGCAAATATTGTAGCAGCTCGTTGGACGTCCTCATCGAAGACGTCGTAGGATTTCTTATGTCCACAAAATTGACATAAACCTCAGGTGAGGGAAAAAAGCCAGCATCTGGAACCAATACTGCCAGTGACGATTCCGAAACAGAACCACGTCTCGAAGAGACAGACATAAAAGATATACAGTGTGCACAATAGTCTGCGATGGCACTCAAAAAGCCCCGAAAACCTAAGTGAGCAAGTAGTGCCAGCATTGTAAGACCACCGGGTGATACAACCACGACGAAGTGATGCGTGTCTTGTGAACGCAAGACTTCCAACCGAGGCGAGAGCAAAGTGGAAGTAACTGACTCCACTTGTTTAGTGCTGAAAAAAAGGAAGGTGAAGAACTATAGGAAAGGGAGAAAGACTGGGCTTGGTGATAGGGGCTCAACGGCCGTAAACATCAATAAGATTGCGAAACCCTTGGATTCAAATTACAGGATATTAATTTGGAGGAATTAAAGAATGTGGATCTGGCTACCTGACATGCTGATGACGTAGAGGAAGTTAGCTTAATCACTCGTGAAGTACTTCCCGAAAAAAATAAATGGAGTACACATAAGAAAGGTCATCAGAGTCGGTAGACGAAATGCCAATGCAACGTAGGTCCTGCTGGGGAACGGGATAGAAAAAAGCAATATTCTCAGCAACGCAATCAAGACCAGGGAAAAAGATAAGAATAAGGCCTGACTGGCCTATGGAAGATAGAGTTAAGAGAAGAGAAACCGTGGCTCGATTGAAGGCCCGACTTGGAAAAGACCTTCAACATTTGGATTTTCGGGTAGCAAGGTCTCGGAAACCTATGTTGACCAGACCTCTGTTCATAAGTGGAGTGAACATGTAGGTCTTTCAGTTCACTATACGAGAGCGTGTGGTCTTAGGAATAAACTCCTTAAACTAGGAGTGTCGGCTAAATGACTACAACCCAGAGTGATTCTTATCACTGAAACATGGTTGTTAGTGGGTTTAGACTTGACTCCATTCATATCTGGGTACATCTGCATCATGGCAAACAGTGGAATTAGTTGGAAAGGTGAGGGGTTGCCCTACACATCCGGGATGACATAGGAATTAGATGATCGTTTTAGTGAGATCGTGACAGCGATGCTAATGAGGCCACAGGCCGTGTCATTAACTTGAACAAGGGCACTGTGACATTGGGTTTGTTTACAGAAGTCCTGCCAGCCAAGCTGTCGATTTCTCACTAAATAACCTCAGGACATGGAGTAGCAGAAATAGGTGTGACTTTAACGCCCCACATATTAATCGGGAGGAATTGACATCAACTGCGTTATACACTTGTTTCAACAGGGAACTCATACTGACGGTGTTTGAATGCACTTGCGCAGCATATCGATGCACCAACACGACACTACCCCGAGCATGATCCGTCCACTCTAGACTTGGCGCTAACACATGAGAAGGAGGATTTCAGTGACGTAAGGCGATTGGCGCCGCCAGGCAGTAGTGACCGCGTAGTTGTCACTTGCGTTTAGGATTCACGTGTATAGGTCAACGGCTGCTCTTCCAAACATTTAGAAAGCGAATATACGTGCAATCTGAAGTGCAACAACCCCAGCGGACTGGTCCGTTGATACACATCAGACTGGTGAGGAGGCTCACATGGGATTTAGGAATACGCTAGACTGCGTCACTGCACCCTTTGTACCTTGGTCTACGCCTTGAAAACTCTCACATAAACCACCTTGGATTACTACTGATATAAGGAGGTTAATAAAAAAAAGAAAGAACTTATGGGACCGGCTTAATGTGACTTGGAGGGGTGGGTTTCGGATGGAATACCGCAAAATTGGAGACCTGTGTAAGCACATGATTGACGAAAGTCATATAGAGTAAGAGACAGTTAGAAGTGGATTGTGTGCATTATCCAAAAAGACTGTACTCTTATTTCAAACGCAGGACTAAAACTAGCAGTGGCTTACCACCCTTCATAAGCAATACTGGGGAGGTGGCGGGGTCAGACGAAACAAAAGCTGAAAAGCTCTCGGAACACTTTTGTAACGTCTTTTCGTCTAATCGTATCAATCAGGGGTGTAGCGAGGTCACCGCTGTGGGCACTAAAATGCCCCTAACTGTGGTAGGGGTTACAATGTTTCTGAAAATGTTGCCTAAAATGAAACCAGGTCAATCACCGGACCCGACTGCTCATCTCCTTGGCGGATATTATATAAGTTCCACTTACGGAGATTTTTCAAATTTCTCTGATCCAGGATAGGCTACCTGGGGACTGAAAAGACGTTTCTATAAGCCCCATGTTCAGAGAGGGGAACAGGTAGTTGGCATCTCACTACCGGCATAAATTCTGACCTGCATTATAGCAAAGGTATTAGATACGCTCATAAGGGATCAACCCTTGGTTCATATGGAGAAACATGGCTTACTGGCAGAGGAACAGCATGGATTCTGACCACAACGATCCAGCTTGACAAACTCACTTTTGGCTAGAGAAGGCTGGGTCGAAGCCAGGGATAAGAACCACCTATTGAACATTGTCTTTGCTGTCCTTAGTGAAGCACTCGATAAGGTATCCCATTTAAGTCTTCTTGGTAAACTCAAACATTTTGGATTAAACCAACGTATATGTGAGTGGTTTAGAGACTACCTGATGGATAGAAGGCAGAGGGTAAGGGCTTATGGTGTACTGTCAGGGTGGAAGGCAGCCCTGAGTAGAGTACCTCAGGGGACTGTGATTGGCCCTCTGCTGTTCCTGTTACGCGTAAATGAACTGCCAAAAATTCTAACCTCATCTTCCCTACTATTTTTGGAGGATATCCAGATATGGAAAACTGTGAATAGTAACGATGGTAGGTTGATACTACAAAACGATAAGGGTAAATTAGCTGAATGGACTAACCTCTGGGGTCCGGAAATTAATTTCAAGAAAAGCACGGTAATGCACCTTGGGCAGAAGCCCTGCACGTCGTACCCCATGGGGGACACGGGACTTCCAGACGTTAAGGGGCAGAAGGACTTAGGAATTATCGTAAGCCACGACTTCAAAACAACGGCGAATTGTTATGGAGCCTTATATAAGGCTTTCGAGTGTTATGGACACTTCGAAGAGCTTTCATACGATTAGACGGGGGTATGTTACGAGTACTCTATGCAACATATGTAAGACCTCATCTAGAGTACCGCGTACAAGCGGCGAGGCCATGCTTCAAAAAGGAGGCACATACCCTGAAAAGACTATTAAGGGTAGGAACGAAATTAGTTAGTGGTATATCACGCCTTCCTTATGATGTGAGGATGGAGCATTTAAATATCTTCCCATTATCATACCGAAGGAGGGGAGGCGACTAAATTTTCGCATAACATATACTAAAGGATGATCTAGGGATTGACCTTTCGAATATTTTCTCTTCCTCTAGGATGAATTTACGAGGTCTGCCAATGTAGTTGAAGATTGAACGATCAATTCATGGTTGTTTGCTCAAAACCCAACTCCTCCATATTTTTCGCGGGAGTCATCAATACTGCAGTCATCGGTTCATCGTTCGCTGTTCGTTGGAAGAGAGAAAAACTATCGGAAGTATTATCGTGATTGATTGTTATGACATTTATTCTTAGGCTTTGTGTACAATAACCTAATGGTTAGCTCTGTATTGGTGCAAGAATAAACGGTTCTTGAGTTACCAATTTGTGTTCTGGGTTTTTGCGTTGGTTATTACGCATAGTTCCCGAAAATCTTCCAAGGACAGCGTGAGGTCCAATGTAGTAAGACCTGGGCATTGACAGTTTCTGATAGACTCCCTGAGTTATTCGTCTTATTTGTTGTCAGTTCGTCTTTCCTCGCGTCTGTCCGTCTTCCTTTGACAAGTGTTATTTGGTACCTTTCTGGATTGTTTGGTCAAATTGAGTAATGCATGGATCAAAGAAAGGACGAAGCAGACAGGAAAGTAAGTAATGATGAGTCGCTACTTTATGTAATGATGTGTGTGATGCTCAGCATGATAATATTGGTGTCCATGTTTGGCCGCCTAGGGATAATAGAAATTTTAAAACTTTTAAATCTTAGCTTCTGTGTTTCGGCGGAAATCCAGCTGAATATCCACAGTGTGTAAAGGAGTTTGAACTCATGTTGAGTGGGTTTGCAACAAATAACGAAATGAAGGTAATGTATTTGTTGAGGTACTGCACTGGGGTTGCCACAAGAGCTATATATTGCTGCAGGTTTATGTCTTCAAACGATGGATTTACTGAGGCAATGCGTATCCTGCGTCAAAGGTTTGGAAGACCTTCGATGATTGTAAGGAACGCATTCGAGGCTGTTAAAGGTAATGGTAGTCAATTAGGAGATGATTCCAAGGCACTCAATGAGTATCTGGATAATCTGAAGACTTACAAGAATATGTTGATTTCGATGAATTGCATGAGTGATCCGAACTCAAGTTCAGTCCTAGAGGTAAAAGCGAAACGCCTACCTGCTCACTGCAAAGGAAATGGGTTAA